TACACAATATCTTTATCTTTATCAATCAAAGCACACAGCCCATCCGTCGGGCATAGCAATCAATTTTATTCTCCCTTCCTCCAACTAAGTAACAAAATAATTATTATTTAACCATCTATACAAAACCTTACGCTTTACTTAATAAATGATTCAACATTTGATACAAATTAGTTTACTACTAATACAAAAATATTTCATAGCTTTACTAAGATTAAACATATAAGTAAATAAATACGCGACTTAAATGAAAAATGTTATTTGTATTAATCTCCACATCCTACCTTCTTTAACTATTCCGATCTTAATATACCTTTCAATAATCAACAAGTTATGCTCATATTTTTTGACCAAACATTAATCAGGATCTTATGTAACAACTTATAATCCGTGAATCACTATCTCACCAGCAAGATTATAGGAACGCCTATTATTAATCTATTAAGCATAACTAAATAGGCATACTTACTAAACTAATCAAATTTCTTAGCACGAATTGAATGTTTATAACTCAATCCAATAGCCCTTTGGCTATCATTAAGCAAATTTTACCAAATAACCTAAACTAGCTGCGCCTCAACAGTAAATAAAATTCTTATATATGAACTTATTAAACGAAAACTTACATTTCTCTATCACAAAATTGTTCCATTATCCCAATTTCCAGCCCTATAAACTGGAAAATTACCTCAATAACACAAATCACCCATAAATCAGAAATTCATGAAAATATCAGAAAAGGTTTGGTGAAATGTTATTTACAAAAGACTATAAATGTTCATTATATTTTTAAGTTAGTTTCTTTATCTATTCAATTAGTCTAAAATAACTCATTAAATTCAATTAATCAATCAATTTAAGTTTTTAATATAAAAATTGAGAATTGAGTCTTAGAACGTACCCATTGAGGAATCGGCGACATTCCATGATCCAGCGCGAAGGGAAGAGGTTTGTCTCTCGGAGGGCCTCGCCGGAGTGTCGCCCGGGCCGGTACTGGACAGCGCCGTCGCCTCCGTGCAGGTGGTCGGAACAGAAGACTTATTGCCCAGAATTTAAATTATAACAAAATGTTTCGGAAATCTCAATGGGACTCGGATCTGTGTTCAAATTGGACTAACCTGTGCCTTAATTGCCGAAAATTTACTCGAACATGGCTTCGCCACTGCCATTTCATCGGCAATTCCGTCATCCAGGCTTCATCGCCGAACTCGATGCAGGGGAAAACGTCAAGCACAGTTGATGCGGAGTCAATTGAGTCCTCAGTTGCATGTGAAGCAGTCGTAAACGGGCGGTGAGATTTCGCCGAAATCGAAGCTGCGTCGCTAAGAGGAAAGGCTTGCATCGTCGCGCTGAGGGCCTGATACGGCGGTGAAGAAAGCTGGCAACAGTGAACCGGCGGCATGAGAGGAATCGATCGCCACCCACATCGTCAGCTGGTGGCCGGAGACAGAAGGGGGGACGAGGAGGGAGTCAGCGCCGCCGCGAGAAGGAGAGGAGAGAAGGGAAGAAAAGAAAGAAAAGAAAGTATGCGTTTCTAGGTCCATTCCGGTTCGATTCGAACCGGTTTTGATCAATTCAAACGATTTGGCTCGAATTCTTTGCTCAGTTTGCAGGTTTTTCTCTCGGTTTTCGAATTTTTCGTTGTGGTTTTCGAAAAATCAGTTTGACTTTTAAATCTCTCTCTTTT